GAAGAGATCTCTGACTGTTTTTGGCAGTGGTCTAACAAACCTGATGAAACTCAAATAATTCTGAAGAAAGAATGGGTGTCCTCCTGTTGATCCCTCCCTTCCTCATTTTACATGTTTTCAGTAGACCAGGAATTCTTGCATGTGGATGTGATGTTAATAGAAATCAGGAGAACTCATTCAATTTTACTTATTTATTTATTTGTTTGTCTCATTTATAGGCCACCTTTTGTCTAGATGAGGGAGATTCAAGGCAGCTCACAGTGTTAATTTAAAACACACATAAACAAGAAATTACACATTAAGAACAATTAAACTATAATAGTAAATAAAATACATTGAATGATTAAAAATATTTACAACTTTAAAAACAAATTGACTCAGTGTTCCAGGACTCAGTTACGATTATTAAAACCTTGCTAGAAGAGGTGGGTCTTCAACAGTTGGCAGAAGGATAAAAGGGAGGGGGGGCATCCTGACCTCCCCAGGGACAGCATTCTCAGAGAAGCCACACCCACCCACCCTGGGGGGGGGCTGTGCTTGTGATGGCAATGACACTGAGAGAAAGGCATCGTCTGATTTTGTGGGGCTATAAATTCAACTGTATATTATTCTGCCTCGTTAAGTCTGAACTACCCATGTTTAATTACCCATGTCCCTCCCATCATCTAAGCTTTCTTGCTATATGAATGTCTCTCTATTGTTGTTATGTGCGGTGAAGTCACATTCAACTTAACAGCAACCCTGATAGCACTTTCAAGATAAGGAGTGATTTACCAGCTCCCCTCACCATGGCTGACCAGGCATTTGAACCCATATCTCTTTGAGTCCCGGACTCCTGGTCTTTTGCTCTATCCACAACATCACACTGGCTAACACTTCCCCTCTAGTCAGTATTAATAATCTCTCTTTTGACTTCCAAGAAGGCTGTAATACAGTCAATAGATTCCCAGTGTGGTGTAGTGGATAGAGTGACAGAGACAGATTCTGGAGACCAAGGTTCAAAACCCTGCTCAGCCATAGAAACTCATTGAGGGAATGGAACTGGTAAAGCCACTTCTTAAATATCTCACTTACCTTGAAAGCCCTATTTGGGTCAATATAAATTGATTCTGACTTGACTGCATGTAACAGCAACTACAATCAACACTTGTAAGTTTTACTTGGATGGCAGACAAGATTTTTTTTAAATTTTTTAAATTATTATTATTATTTATAAAATCCAGCCATACTTATTTAACATTGTGTCACCTGGGTTCAGCTTATAATACAATTAAGCTCTTAATCTATACAACGTGCTTCTAACCATTGATAAAACAAGTTCCATGTTTGATAATATTCTGCGTCTTCCTTTCCTTTGATTTTCAGTGTCAGTCTACCCATTTTGGTGCAGTCCAATATTGTTTTAATTATTTCTTGATCTGTAGGTGTTTCTTCATTTTTCCAGTATTGTGAGAATATAATCCTTGTGGCTGTTAATATATATAGTATTACGTATACAGTACATTTTGTTTATCAACACTTTCTGGTATTAGACTGAATAGAAAGAGTTCTGGATTAAAGTCTACATTTTTTATTATTTTAACAAGCCATATATGTATTTTTTTTTTTTGCTTTATCACAGGTCCACCAAAGGTGATAATTCAAATTTCAGATTTTTTATGCCATTTCCAGCATTTACTTTACCTATTAGAGTACATTTTAGCTAATCTGTTGGGTGGTAAATGATGGCCGACAAGAATTTTGATGTGGACGGGATATTCAGACCATGATTGATTTCCCATGGGGAGGGGCCATGCATACCATCCAAGCCCCCTGTCCAAAGGCTGGTTCTGCTTCAAATGCCTTCAACTGCTCAAAGCATTTTTCACATTTAACTGTAGGTCTAAAACTAAACAATCCAGGGGAAATCTCTAATTTTCAGTTGTACGATTTTTACATGGGCTTAGGAGACAGTTTGCGGTGACCTGAAATAACTGGGCAGGAGAGCTGACAGGACAGAAAGCTAAGTTTCCTCTCAATTTACTGTTTGTACTGCTTTTTACAGTAAAATGCTAGAGAAGTTTCAGTGAAATTGTTTAGTCAGCCATCAGTTCTATAGAGAAATGCGCTTCCTAGTTTGCATTGTAGTTTCTAGGGGGTTTGAACATTATAGGGTTAAGAACCATATTCCAACACATCAGACATACGGGTGCCTGTCATCTATAGCAAGAAAAGGTGTGAACACACCTATATTAACCCCCCCCCCACCATATCGCACCACTTTTGAAGTTATAACCCTCCTTTTTCCACTCTCGCTGCAGCATTTTCATCGGCCGTATTCAAGTCCTAAGCCTGGGAGTCTAAATTGGCCACCGTTTGCCCTCCTTCTGAGCCACTTGACCTGCCGACCCAGGGAGAGATTTGTGGAGCCCTGAAAAGGAACGGGGAAAGTAACGGGGGAAGAAGTGTGGCGGCGCCCAAGTTC